GCACATGCCTTGAGCATTTCAGAGAGGATTTCATCAACTGCAGCAGTCTTTCCACTGTTGAAGCTTTTTACAGCTGGTGTAATTTCATCTACACAGATAGTAATACCCGTTGCCTGCTGCTCTACAGGCGAGTCTTCCCGTGGTTGCTCGGCGTTAAGTTGTTCCCCAAAGTACTCCCTCCATCGCCGAAGAATGTCCGCATCCTTGGTAAGAAGATGTCCAGAGCTGTTCTTCAAGACTCTGAGACTGACCTTCTTTTCTCGGAGGCGGCGAATGGTCTGCCACAATGCCTGGCGTGCTGTCTGGAAATTCGACTCCAACACCTCACCGAATTTCTCCTAGCAATCAGCTTTGGCATCTGCCATTGCTTTCGCTGCCGCCTTGCGTGCCTCGATATATCGCATGAGTGCAGAAGGTTGCTTGTTTCCAAGGCATTTCTTGAACGCTGCTTTCTCCTTAACTGCCAGCTGTACGTCTCGTGTCCATCAGGAAAATCTTTTCTGACATCCAGGCGGCCGCCTCGAGTATACCGCTCTTAAAGAGCTGCCACTCGGTTTCCACATCGGTGGTCATCACCGGGATACGCTCATGCCGTCATGCGATGTTGGGTTGCAGATCTCGCTCTCGTGTCCACCGAAGATATGGTTTCCCATTTGATTCTCTGGTTGCTTCTGCCATCAGATCTTCGTATGGTACTTGATTTTTTACAGCGTAGCGTGCCAACAACGCCACGGACTTCAACCCTCCTCCTTTCTTAACCGGGCTTGGGACCGGCAACAAGGGAGTTCGGCTCAAAGTTATCAATGTAAATGTAGGAGAAATATTCCGCGGGGGGGGGGCTCACTACCCTAAGGGACTGCAACGTGCACGTCGTTCGCTGTGGACGTTGGTCGAGATTCAGCAATGAATGGGCGATTTCCACATAAACATGCGCATAACAGATATAAAGTTGGGAAATGCGTACTCCTGCGAAGCTGCCGTTTCTAATGGCCATTCTGTATACGTATAGGCGACATTTTGAACTCTTGAAAAAAACAAGTTATTACTGTGGAAGCGGCTGCCGCTGTCGGTCTGGTTCGTCTGCACAGAACGTCTTCGGTGCCTGCTATGTACTGCCATCGGTGGATCGAGCGGTTGAATCGTGCCTGTAAATTTTCGGCAACGAACATGCCTGTCAACATCGTCTTTACTGCGTTCTCGTGGTTGAACTTGCGAAAGCGGTTGAAGATAGCGACGGCGGCATGGACACTCGATTCGCCGCCGTTCGATTTTGGCGATTTGTTTCCGTTTTCGTCAGAGTCAATGTGGTCGTCATTCTCCGGACCCTTTGCCGTTGTGCAGCCGCCGCTTTTACTCAGTTCTGCACTTGATTCTCCATCGTTTCGCGTAAGTGACGCTAAACGCTTCAGATTCCTTAAGAAATAAAAAATTCTTTAAGTTATAAACAATGAACTGTAATCAATAAAAAAACAAAATTCACATATTTCAACTCCAACCAAAGTTTTTCCTGTTATTAACATGAAGAATGACGGGAGATGACAATAGGATTGCAAACGATATCTTCAAGAAGCAGAGGGAGGCTAAGTAATGACGACCTCTTGAAATATGCGCTAAATATATAAAGCAGATCTCAACCAACAACGAAGAGCTCTCGCAGCATAAAAACAAATATTTGGCCACACTGTTTATGTTCAAGCGAAGCAAAATTTTTTTAAATGATTGTGTGGTAAGCTGCAAAAACGAACTGAAGAGTAAACAATTTTTCAGCCGAATGAACATTAATCATTTACTAGGCCCTGACATAAGTAATCATAAAGCAGCGTAATACCAGTTAGTGCATGATCAGAATGTTATTCTTCTCTGCTTAAAGAAAAATTGCCCCCTCCCCCCTTCATGTGCCAGAAATGTCCAACGAGCTAAAATAG